GACCTGGCACTGACCCATTCCGACCTTGTTTACACACGTGGACCTGGCACTGACCTTCTCCGACCCTGTTTACTCACGTGGACCTGGCACTGACCTTCTCCGACCCTGTTTACACACGTGGACCTGGCAATGACCTTCTCCGACCCTGTTTACACACGTGTACCTGGCACTGACCTCATCCGACCCTGTTTACACACGTGGACCTGGCACTGACCTTCTCCGAAACTGTTTACACACGTGGACCTGGCACTGACCTTATCCGACCCTGTTTACACACGTGGACCTGGCACTGACCTTCTCCGAAACTGTTTACACACGTGGACCTGGCACTGACCTTATCCGACCCTGTTTACACACGTGGACCTGGCACTGACCTTATCCGACCCTGTTTACACACGTGGACCTGGCACTGATCTTCTCCGACAGCGTCAGACATTGGCACTAGTCCTGTAGTCCTTACCAAACTGCCCAATAGTAAAGAAATCCGAAGGACTACTAGAAGTTGGCCCATTTTAAGGGTTTTGTTATCTGTTGTCATTATAAGGACTAGTGGACAAAAACTGTTAGTTTCTAACCCAGTCCGACCCTGTTTACACACGTGGACCTGGCATTAACCTTCTCCGACCCTGTTTACACACGTGGACCTGGCACTAACCTTCTCCGACCCTGTTTACACACGTGGACCTGGCACTGACCTTCTCCGACCCTGTTTACACACGTGGACCTGGCACTGACCTCCTCCGACACTGTTTACACACGTGTACCTGGCACTGACCTTCTCCGACCCTGTTTTCACATGATCTACCCACCTCTGATCGTGGGTTCGAATCCCTGTTTGCCCTCATTATGTTCTTGGTTTGTCAGAACCATACCCGTGATGATGGGTTTCACCAGAGTGGTAAACGTCTGAGACCTGCATTACTTGGGGCTTTCCTCCCACATTACGTTGACACGCCTAGGTATAACAGGAATACTGTTCAAAGCGTTAAACCCAACTCACTCAATAGCATGTAACTGTCACCAATAATCAACACAATAGTAAGAATATTTTCTTCCTTAACTGTGGTTAAAATGTCCACATGAAGGCTGAAGATCAAAACCATTAATTAAACACCCCAATGCCACATTGCAGTAATCCAAACTACCCATGAAGTGCTGGTTAGAATTGGGCTTCAGCGACCCATGCTTATCGTGCGAGACTAACGGAATCGAGTGGTCGGACTCGTTGACTTAACTAATGCATGTCGCATCCCAAATGCGTGGGTCGATGCTCTTGGTATCAATGACTGGATTGTCTGGTACAGATTCGATTATTTACAGACCGCCGCTATATTGCTGGAATGTTACTGGGTGCTGCGTTAAACAACAAACAAACAAAATCCAAGCAGTCGAGTTGATCACGATGGTCATACAGTCATGAACGTTGATGTACACTGCCTCTACTCCGTCTACGACATAACCTTTACGATTGATCAAACACTGGTACACGTGGAAGTCATGAAGTCAGACCGTGGTAATGGCTGTTTAATTAGGATTCCTTTCATGGTATAGCAACCAACCGTTTCGTCGGTGTTTGTAGGGGAATTGCATCGACCACCATGACACATCTTTTGTGAGAACTGTCTCTTTTTCTTTAAATAATACGATGTGAAATCTGAATGCAATCATTTTCGTATCCCGAGTTACGGTGTTTACTTCCTGCGCCGGAGTATTCCGGAAATATTCAATACCATAGGAGCCATAATTTTGTCTTTGTGCAAGATAAACTAAATACATAGCCGGAGGTAGCGAGAATTATTAATCACTTAACACCAATTCATATGGTAAAATATTCTATCACTCACGTTGAGAAAAACTGATTACATGCGTCGAGAAAATATGAAAATATGTTTGGGTCTTAACCCAAAATAGCCAGAAGTAATAATGCGTGGTTTGTGCCAGGTCGGATGACAGACAAAACGAGTTTTAGGAGTGTCGCACTCTAGACACTGTGCATCGATCGCGACTCTGCAAACATTACGGCATTTGCAGTGATGCGGAAAGCCACTTTGATGGACAATAGATAATATTTAAGCCGTGGATTTCGAAGATATTCTTTTTCCCGATATATTGCATTGAGTTCCTGTTCGAAAAGTTTATTCGGTCACCCAGTGCCGAACTAAAGACACAGTTTTTCTGTACTTTTTCTCCGTTCGTCTATCGTCCTTACTATAGTATATGCTTTTACTTCATGGTATATCAATATACACAGTAACACGAATATCCGGGACATAATCTCCACCTGTTTAACATTCTGTTTGTTTAACACCTCAACAATATTCCAGCTATATGACGATGGCCTGTACACAATCGAGTCTGAACCATCCGGTGATTGATATGGTGAGCAACGGTCCACGCCGTCGGGGCACGATGACACGCAATCAACCAAGTCGCCGAGCCTGCCCTCCCGATCCATTAGGTCACCTCTTACGACCAGTATAGGTTGCTGGGGACCTGTATTCCTACCAGTAATCAACGCGGTCGCGCATTACCATATGTGTCGACATATAGTTGGAATATTGCTGAATGGGGTGTTAAACATGTATATATTGTGAAGAAGAAGTGTTGGTAAGCGCGACCATAAGCTCACAATGTTTAATAACATCTATAGGCTGTTAACTATTGTGACGTCATTGTACATTACCTCAACCAGACAGTATGTATTGCATCAACAATTAGGAGATAAACTACTGCGTTTTCAATGTAGAGCTACGTTACCTGTGGATTTAACCGCGCTTAACTGAACTTGGAACGCAACGCGCAACGCATGAATTTGGAAATTACTCGATTCTGATTGGTCAGAGGTTGTCAAATCACAATACACCAACTCTGATTCAAACAGTCCATTTGACGACCACATCACCGCGACAGCTAATATTCATAGAAAAGTATTCATTTAAATAATGATATCTACAAATGTAGGTTAAAGTTGCGGTTACTACAATATTCAAAGGATGTGTTGCAATACATTTCGTGCAGAAAACGCGAATGAATCTACAAAGAAAATATATTTGAAGTTTTGCAGACAACAGAGAGCTTGAAATTTAGCGCTTTTCTACATACGACTGTAACGTCATATCTTTTGCGTCACAATATGAGCGATATGGCGTCATAATGGTGAGGTGCGGTGTAGAACGAAGCCTTTGCAAAACTTGCTTAGTTTTCCTTAGGGGTGCCCACCTCATGTTAGCTTACCAAACTGCCGTGCTTATATGATTTCAATGCCTGTCATATGTTCGTGTGTATTACTACGGTGTAAACAAACTGCTTGCGTATATACAGCACCATATTTTGTTTTAAGGCTGTTATCGATGATTCCGTAATTCAGAGGACAACCAACTCAAAACCCTGGAGGCAACCCATGCCGCTGCGCTCAGTAAATTTGCTGTCACCAAAGAGATCCCGTGTTATTCAGTCATGGTACAATGGAGATAAACATACTGTGTTTTCAATGTAGACCCAGGTTATCTGTAGATTTAACCGCGCTAAATTGAATTTGGAACAGAACGCGCGGCGTGAGGTTTAAAATGTTAAATATAACGCGGCTAAGTACAGTATGTTTATGTCCTAATTAAACAGTATGTGTTTTCATACTGGCAGGTGTAATATTAAGTATTCAATCTCTGGAAATCTCATTTGGAACCGACAGCGCTATAACTTGTTTTACTGAACTTATTTACCCCTGAGAAACAACATGTGCCCGATATACTGACATTGTATATAATTAAATGATTTTTACTTACGGTAGGCTCTAATATCTTTTTTCATCGACTGAAAAAATACAGAATGCAATAATCAATGTCCTCCATTTAGAATATTTCCACCCAAAGAGTTCGTGGGTGCCTTGGTAGCACTAGTGACCCAAGACGCAGGTAAAGTTATCCGTCTGTAAACATCGTTCATAATTAATGAAATCTCGACCTCAAAATTTAACTTACCGATTCCTGCCGGGAGTCGTCTGCTGCGCGTTGTCCATACCACGTGACAGGTGTGGGTTAAAGTTCGCACGTGCGTAAACTCGCTGCTTGCATTGGTCACTAGTGGTAAACAAAATATTTTTCTACTTTTTTCCCAAGAATAATTGAATTTTGTTGTATTTAAACCAAAAACACCCACGTCGTTGATAAATAACAATAGGTATACAAACTACAAAGTGTGCATAACCATTTACCTTTTTATCAAGAACAAGAGTGTTTATTTCTGCATTGCTTTTACGATTGGGGAATGGTATCTTCCAATCGAATGCGACACAAGGTAAACATACTTCTAAACACCATTGCTGCCCCAGTGTCCATATCACAAACGGAATGGACGTGCGTGTTATATGACTATGCTTATTACAGTACTATACTTCATAAACCTGTCAAGTTTGAGATTTCATATAGATCACATCTAGCTATATGTGAGTATATTGATTCAACTGAGCAAATTTCCCGTGATGAGTGCAGTGTCAGTGATAGCCACCTTATCTCAACTCTTACTGGAGATTCGATCGAATCGTCCACGCCCCCGTTCCACAAAGCGATCTTAGCGCAAAGAGCTCCCGTACTTTATAACATACACTTACGACAGTCTTAGGGCTAAGATAGCTTTGTGGAACGGGGCACGTTAGGCTTGCAAGCAGCTGTTCCTTTAATCAAATGGAATAGTTTCGAACACTTAATCTGAAGAGATCATATTTCTACAACCAGGCCTCTTTCGAGAAATATCTGTCCCCAGGCTAAATCGTTTTGGTTTTTTTTTTATATAAAAAGTGATTCAAACATAACCATCGTTAAAGTCTTTCTTAAATCTCAGAAAATCAGAATATAGTTTCAGCCGTGCATCAATTATCTATTTACACTAACTCTGTCATCAAAGTTTGTGTGAATTGTTTGTGGTTGTTGACAAGTTTTCGATGAGAAGCACTCGTAAAATATTCTCACTGCCTCACAAATAACACCTTTTGCTTTTCTTTGCAGAGGAAAGAGCTCCAGATATTAACAAAGAGCAATTTTGTAAGTACAACACTCGAATTCTGGCAATATCCATGCGGTAGTAATGTAGATGTGGTAACATCTTCTTTGCTTCTTCGATGTGGGGATTCTGGGGTAAAAGCTGTCACGTGTGCCATGCATCTGATCTGGGACCTGGGTGATGATTGTATGTCATTGGTCCCTGCAATCTCATTAAAATCAGACCTTACTTCTCGCTACCGCTGAACAAAGATCTGAAGACATCCCATTAGGGGTCACGTCAGAACGACCTTTCATCCGACCAATCAGTGCGTCACTTACCAGATTATGAAAGTGACAATCGGAATGTGAATTCTAATCATGCAATCTCGAAAACTGTAACATGGGGTATTCTGAACGATTATTACAGGTTTAACGACTGAATCCTTACGATCTAGACCATCTTTTAGCCATTCCAGAATGTTTTTTTTGTTCTGGTTTCAAATTTGTAATCAAGAATTTGTTCAAATATGTTTCGAAGCGGAGTCGCCAATTTGAAATTTGTGCCGTAAAGCACGAGAAAGATGCCTTCTGAATGGTCATTCCATTGGTCAGTCAAAGTTCGCAAAGGTTGGTCTGACGTGACTCTTAATGGGATGTCCTCAGATCTTTGTTTAGCGGTAGCGAGAACAAAGATCTGATTTAAATGAGATTGTTGGCCCCTGAGACTTGTCAGCCCCTTTCTGGTATGGGGGATTGGGGTTTATTTAGAGTGTATTTGGGTCTTATCCGTACACAGGACTCATAGAAAATCCGTTCTGTACACAGATTCAATATCTATGAAACTTAATGGTGTCTGTTAAAGTTTTGGGCGGTGGGGTAGCCTTGTGGTTAAAGCGTTAGCTCATCACGCTGAAAGTCTGGGTTTGATTCCCCATATGGGTACAATGTGTGAAGACCCATTTCTGGCATCCCCTGCCGTGATATTTCTGTAATATTGCTAAAAGTGATGTAAAATCCAACTCACTCACCGTGAAAGTTTCCTTATATAAGTATATATATTCAATATTATATCAGTAATTTTATTGAAATTGCACCCTTTTCTCAATGCTTTTGAGATTTGTCTTAAGTAGTATTTGGGATTCAGGGATGAGAAATAACAGTCGGAGTGAAAAATAAGATGGTATTTGGGATTCAGGTGAGGATGTGATTATCACCCACTTCCCTGGAGACGGGCATATATAGTTACTCATGCTTTCAACATGTGGTCTGCTTGGCCATTATTCCCCTATTTACCAATCTTTGACACTGCCGAAATATTGCTGACTATTTTGTTAAAAAAAAATTTCACTTCTTCATTTCTAAACTGAAGATTTGGGTTTGTCTCCAGCAACCCATGCTTGTCGTAATAGGCAACTAATGGGATCGAGTAGTCAGGCTTGCTGACTTTGTTGATGCATGTCATCGTATCCCAATTGCATAGATCGATACTCATGATGTCAATCACTGGATTGTCTGGTCCAGATTCAAATATTTACAGACCGCTGTCATATAGCTAGAATACTGCTGAATGCAACGTTAAACAACAAACAAAGAAAAATAGTCCGTGTGTTTTCGAGCAGGTTGTGCGAGGCATCAAACCCCACTTCTGCAACTTCATCCAAGGGGTGCAGCTACATGAACGTGACATCAACTCCCGCCCCCGGAGCCGCCAGGATGGTGGTGCAGACGACGACGACAATGACGGTTATGACCACGGCACAGTTGTGTCTACCGATGCCATCTCTCTTGGGCAATGGCGACATCGCACATCTGGGTAAGATAATAGTTAATCATATTGATCTTTTCATAGTGATAATAGACATTGAAAGATAATGAAATTCGGAATTGTTTTACATTATATTGATAATTTTTATGACAACTGGAAAAGCCGAGCATGTGGATGAACTCGGTCAAACTATTCACAAGATCCTGAATCTACACTGGATGCAGTCCCGATCTCCAGAGAGTCTCTACACGACATCTTTGTTTACTCTCCCTGATAGTTCCTATATGAATTTTAACAATATAAAAAATCCAAGATATATTTTTCCCTTTTCCCTGGTGTAATCCAAATGAATGAAACCCTCTGGAAACCTGTCACGTTTTTGGAACAATGTTTCAAATTGTATTTCTTTTGTCACCTTTTGTTTGTTTGCTTGTTATTTGAGGCATTATTTACATGTTATAATATTGTTTGTTTAAAGCTGCAATGTTTAAGCTATATGACCATGGTATGTCAATAATCAAGGCTGGACCAGAAAATCCAGTGATTGACAATATGAACCAGTACATGAACAAAGTTTTGTAGCGATAACTATGCTGAAATGGCAAAGCAGGGTGCAGCAATATTTTTTTATCACATAGTTTGTTTCTATGACAAATTTCTGATTTTTTTATATGTGTGCAAAACAAGACAAATATATTTGAAATTTTTAACTTCAGGAACATGTATGCACTTTCAGGCCCCTGTTACAGACAGTGTACATATTTGCCCAAAAGTATTGTATTATATTTCCTCATACGAATGGAAGGTCAGGCTTAACTTTTGGCTTCTTCTCCCAACTCGGCCGCGTCATATCAAAAGACATTAAAAGATGGTACTTGTTGTTACCCTGTCTGGCGCTCAGCATTAAAGGGCTAAAACAAGGACTGGTCGGCTCGGAGTCAGTATACTGTGTCTGAGTGGGGTATTCATGTTAAGCTGCGGCATGGTATCTCAGTGTGCTAGCACTATAAATTGGCATCAGTCCGGACTAGTACAAGCAGCCACACACACACGTGCATGCACGTCGCTATATAAGTTCAATAATCTTGGATGCGACGTTAAACCCCATTTCACCTCACCTCTTCTCCCAACTGTCTAAGGAGCAGAGCCTGACCCTCTAGGAATATGTCTAGCATCATCATTGAACTCAAGATTTGTTAAACAAATTGAATTGTGAAATATCTTTAAAACTCAAGGTTCATGATTCTGAAATTTGGTTATAAAATAAGGCTGGCCCAAGTTAGTTTTGTGACTAAAGTTTCAATCTGATTTCCAGAATCAAAATTATTTTTTATGAAAATGACTATTTTTGAAATTGTATTGACTGAATAATGTAACAGTTGTAACTCGAACAGAAAAACTGAACAGAACACTATCAAGATGAGAATGTACATTGAACAACTTTAATGACTTAATTGGTTTTCGCTTCAGTCGAATTCCTATTAAAGTTTTGAAAAATACATAACTAGATGCAAGTAAAAGAAAATCTGTAAACAAAAGACTGTCCACCCCAGGGAATGTTACTGAGGGTAATGATGAATTAACTGTGACCCCCAGGAGCGGTACCGAGGGACGGCCAGGCTCCCCCAGTTCTGTGGGGGACGGGCTGGACGATGACGTGTCCAGTAAACTGAACACAGAGGCCTGGCCACGGTCACTCTACGGTCAGTACATGTTCTTCTGTGCCAACTCCTCACTGACTTCAAGCACATGGAACTAAACCTAGCGGTAAAACTCCATGTACCCTATTTCTTGAGTATAGTGCACGCTTTTTTTCCAAAAAACACAGCTGTGTAGAAGGGGGTGCGCATTATACAAGCCATAATGAGTTTTGATGTTTTTTCCCCCAACGCAAAGACATTACCGTGACAATGCCTTGCAGAACAAAATAATACAATTTAAAAGGTAAATCAACATGTCTGGTGATTTTTTATTTCAAATTTGTACTAACCAAGTTTCTCATCACCCGTTCGTTTACCGGAATTCACTGAAGGGGTACGGTGTAATTTTTTTCTGTGCATAATATCCGAATTATGTTTTTTCCAAAATACTGAATCCGCTAAAACGGGGTGCGCATTATACTTGGGTGCGTGTTATACTCAAGAAAATACGGCACTGTTCAAAAGGAGTTTCTTCATACAATGTCAGTTGTATATACACATATTTCATGATCCCTAACTTTTTTTGTTCATAATGCCTATATATTGTATATACATGAAAATACACAGAGCAATATATTTTGGAAATTGATATAGGATTAATTATATGTGTAAGGAATGTCTTTTTTTACATCATGAAATATTTTTATTCATTATATTGAGTAATGAATTCAGATAAGGCCATTATCATTTTTTATTTGATTTTCATCAAAATTTTGTACAAGTTTGGGGGCATTTTAATTTTTTAAAACAAACGGCTGACAAACTGCTGACAAACTGTTTCTGTCCCTGGATGGTAAAACGTAGGGTCAGACTCCATATATGGTGTAGGTCGAGTACAGAGTGAGTGAGTATGATTTTACGCCGCTTTTAGCAATATTCCAGCAATATCACGGCGGGGGACACCTGAAATGGGCTTCACACATTGTACCCATGTCGGGAATCGAACCCGGGTCTTCAGCGTGACGAGCAAACGCTTTAACCACAAGGCTACCTGACCGCCCCAGTTGAGTACAGATGGCCCAGTCATCTAAGGGGCCGCAATTTGCTGTGCAGAGTTGCATCCCTTGGGCCTGCCAGAAACCTATGATTTGTGGGTTCAAATCCTGGTTCGCTCCGATTATGTTTCTAGGTTTGTCAGCACCATTCTCGTGGGTTTCACCGAAGGGGTAAACGTCTGACTTGAATCACTTCGGGCTTTCCTCCCACATTAAGCTGACATGCCGTGATATAACTGGAATACTGTTAAAACGGTGTTAAACCCAACTCACTCACTCACTCATCCATAGGGGCAATAAATGGTTGAGGGGTGTGTTTGGTAGCAAGACGGTCGAGATGCAAATCTAATAATAATTATTGTGGCCTAATGGTGTGTCTCTCATGATACACTACAATACAGTGTGTATGTATTGAAGTTCCACATAATATACACTTCTTATTTCTCATCACTTTAAACAGAAATTTGTTGATGCATGAATTATCGTCTGTCATGGTTCCATTTCAATGACCATGCTGTATTTGTCAAAAAATTCTTCTGAAAAAATGGACCTTAAAAATCCTCCATCTCAACAGGAATGCTTATCGTGATGAGAACCTGATTTGTAGTTGCCTGTTTGTTGTGTGGTGCTGTAACTCCAGTGTGACACTCTAACACTTATAGGGGCTAAGATTAACACTGACTTGGAGGGAGACGACAAGGACAGGCTCAAAGCCAATAAAGAAAATGGTAAGATGCACCTTAATATTTACGTTCAAATATCTAGATATCACCATAGAGTTGAAATATGCGAAACAACTTTCATCCTGAGTTACCCAGTGTTCTGTCTCCTTACTATTGTGATGAAGGGACTTGTAACTTATCATTGGAGGGGGAGGGGTAGGGGGGGGTAATGCGTCGATAGGACTGTCATATTTTGCCAAATCCCCCATTTTCTGTGACATATTTTCATGCCCCATCCAAAAAAATACACATAACATTTATTCATGCTCTCTTCATTTTATACAACAACCCCCCTCTCCCTATACCGGAAGAATCCGGAAGGTCAAGGGTTCGATCCTCGGCCGTATCATACCAAAAGATGTTAAAGATGGTATTTGTTGTTACCCTGTCTGGCGCTCGGCATTAAGGGACTAAAACATGGATTGGTCAGCTCGGAGTCAGTATACTGTGTCTGAGTAGGGTATTCATGTTAAACAGTTAAATCAGCATCAGTCCGGACTAGTACAAGCAGACACACACACACACACACACACACACACACACACACACACACACACACGTTCATGCACATCACTTTTTGAGTGCAATAATCTTGGAAGTGACGTCGAACCCATCTCACAACTTGCCACCTTCCTATAATATATAAACAGCCCTTTTTGCTGTGTCATTCTTTCACCCCACATCAAAAGACCAGACCCTTATTACCAGGGACCAAATCACCACCAGAGCTTTGTTTTGAAATGTATATGAATAGCAGATAGTTAAAAAGAGCGCTTCAATCAGATTATACTCGTGAGTGAGAGATATTGTATAAAAGGTAGTGTGACATCACTTCACAAATGAAGCCGGTGTTGTGAATGGGTCCAGGGTACTTATTTTTACAAAATGGAGGTATAATACCCAGGATAACTGAGGATGACTTCCTGTTTAATTATCAGTAATGGAATCTAATAGATATGGGACATTAATATACTACTCAACAGAGGTTAAAAAATGCATGACTCTTTCATGACAGATTAACTATAATATGAAAGAATGAGATGTTTTTAAACTTCTTTTGAGTAGTATGTTTTTTTGTAAATAATAAATCATTTCTTATTTCTTAAAGGGGGACAACTCCAATCATATTTGATTCTGCAATATTGACAAGTAAAGTCACTTGTATATGTTGTGCATGCTTGATCCTTCTAATTTGTGAAAAAAAATAACCCAAAATTGTTTGATGTGATTATATGCTGCATGTTGTTAACAAAACACCTGTTTGAATAAAAAATACTTTACCTTTGATGACACCCAAGAAATGTGCTTCTATTAATGTCTATAACAAAAACACATATCCATGTGGAATTCTTATTTTCCACATGGACAAACAGAAACGTGTAAAAACATTGTTCACTATGTTTGTTTGGGCCTGTGAACAGCAATGTACTGTCAAGGAGTTATAACATATGCTGATATTTCAGAACTGCGGCCATACATACAGATTCCGTCCCCCGAACCCCCCATGGAGCCGAAACCCGCATGGAAAGACACGGTAATAATTCGTCCTGTACTAGTAGTTTGGGTAGATGCTTGTCAAGTATTGAAAGAAACAAAGCATCTGTGTGTCATCAAAACCATATTAAGGTAAGGTAGACACCACACTTGTGCTTCATTATGTAATCCCTTCATAAGGCCTGTTATTTTTCTTGTTGTCTTTTTTTAAAAACAAACTGAAATTATAAAATATTCAAATGACTTTTGACAATGGCAATTTGTTTTTAGCTGACTCTGTTTTACAATTAGGTGTAATAACAAAACATGAGATTTTAACACTGCTGTTCTTTAGAAATGGTGAATTTTACGTATAAAAATCGATATTTTAACAAAATAATTAGCCTTTGGTATAGTTTCACAATCAAACCTCTGTGATGGTGTGACCTACAAGTTTGTTTTTCATTCATTAGTAGCAGTACGAATCTGGAAGTTGAAAAATAGTACATTACTTTCGACCATGATGCTGCGTTAATCAACAAACCAACAAACTTGGCCAATATGTGAAGAAAACAGTAGGCAGAATGATCATAAAGAAAATGTCACGAGGGCTGATTTATGGTTGATTTCCTGAGAACAAACATTCTCAATAATGTTTTGATTCAAAATGGGCATGTTTTCCATAAAAAACATTATTTCTTTCTTCTTTTTTTAAACTTTTTGCAAAATGTAAAGGCACATTTATAGAACCAGAAACACACTTGATTAGGGTCCTGTTCCAAAAAGTGATCTTAGCGCAACAACAATCATGAGCGTTTGTTAAAGTATGGGAATTACGATCACCTATGCACAATGATGACCGTAAAACTATAAAGTATAGGAGTTACGATCACCTTAGCGCAATGACGACTGTAAACCTATAAAGTATAGGAGTTTCGATCACCTTAGCCCAATGACGACCGTAAACCTATAAAGGATAGGAGTTAGGATTACCTTAGCGCAATGACAACTGTAAACCTATAAAGTATAGGAGTTACGATCACCTTAGCGCTAGGATGATCGTAAGCCTATGTTAAAGTATAGGAGTTACGATTACCTTAGTGCAATGGTGACCGTAAGCCTATGTTCATGTATGGGAGTTACAATCACCTTAGCGCTAGGATGATCGTAAGCCTATGTTAAAGTATAGGAGTTACAATCACCTTAGCGCTAGGATGATCGTAAGCCTATGTTAAAGTATGGGAGTTACGATCACCTTAGTGCTAGGGCAACCGTAAGCCTACGTTAAAAGTATGGGAGTTACGATCACAGCGCTACGATTGTTTTGTGGAATTGGGCACTGGCCTTAACACAAAATCAAATACGATGACTTTCCTTACCCTGAAATAGACTGATTGATCTGCGTATTGACAGAACAAACACAACATTAGGTTCCCATTCTGTCATAATCTATAACCCTTCTTCACCATTCATAGGAGAACCGATTTTGTATACATCCAATGCTTGTACACTAATTAAGTCTTTAACGTACTGCACCATTAACACCAAGTGCTATTGATTGGCGTACATTTCAGTCAAAGCCTTACAAGTCCAGTGTTATCTCTAGGCCTGGACCATGTTGATTACATACTTGGTGCTATTGATTTCCACCTTGTTATGAATCATTAAGGTCTCATTGTATCCCTTGTAACTAGGTAGGGAAACTGCCATGCATGTTGCATGGGTATTGACGGAGGTAGAGACCCTGTCCACGGCATCAGCTGACTGACAGTGGACATTGTATACCCTGTGTAGGGCAACTCAGGGTCGTCTATAGCATGTTAATGTCTTTGAACTGTGGCAATATCAGGACTAAACACAATTATAAACCGATTGTCTAAGACTTTAAGATGCCGAAGAAAAAGGTAAGTGTTTCGTGAAACTTTAGAATGAGTCATGTTAAGATGTGAACAGTTTCGCCAAATATATTTAAAAAATATAGTAGTGTATTTTTTTTATAGTATTTTTAGTCTTGTTCTGTTGGTTGATGATGCTGACAGTACCATGCTCCTAGTAAGGGAACATTACATTATAATCATTTATTTCACATTAGCTCACATCTCAGAAGACATTGATTGCGCAGTGGGTTCAGATGCCGTGACTTGTGCAGAATGGTGCCCCTTTGTTGTGCCAGGATCTGTTTGTCGTGGGTCAAAATCCTATGTAAACACTATGTAATGACACCCTTGTAGATCCAGATTAGAATAGGTCTCCAGCAGCCAGCAGCCGTAAGAGGCCACCAACAGGATCAGGAGTAGCTGACTTGGTTGATGCATGTCATCTTATCCCAATTGTGTAGATCAGATCAAAGGATGTCAATCACTGGATTGTCTGGATTATTTACAGACTGCAGTCATATAGCTAGAATATCTCTGAGTTTGACGTTAAACAACAAACAAACAAATAAGTAAAAAGCTTCACACATTTAGCCATTTTGAGGACAGGTCTTCGGTGTGAGGAGGGGATGCTTCAACCATTAGGCTACCCCAGCACCCCTAGGAACATTGCAACTGCTGCATGGTGTCACATTTCTATATCTTTATTCACAGGAGGGGCAGTCAGATAGCCTAGTGGTTAAAGCGTTTGCTCCTCACGCCGAAGACCTAGGATCGATTCCCGACATGGGTACAATGTGTGAAGCCCATTTCGTAAAAACATCACTCGCTCGCTCACTCACTCACTCACTCACTCACTCACTCACTCACTCACTCACTCACTCACTCACTCACTCACTCACTCACTCACTCACTCACTCACTCATTCACAGGATTGAAATTGTCTAAACCTTGTACCCCCCTTGTTGTGTTGCAGGGGAAGAAGTCGAGTAAAGCCAGTACTGGCAAGAAGGGCGGCAAGGCCGGCAAGTCCTCCAGCGGGGGTGCTGGGGGAGCTGGCGGGGAGGGGAATGGGGGGGACGGGGGGAAGAAGAGGTCATGTATCAAGAAGAAGGACAAGAAGAAGATGGACAGACACCGTGAGGGGACGATGGACTCGGAGCCGCAGGTGGAGCACGTGACAACGATCATGGAGGAGAAGAAGACACCTGAGCCGGAGAAGTAAGTATCTGATCATGTCACTATCACAATTCTCTTCTCCATGGGTGTGTACACAGTTTTTTGTTTCAAAAATATATATTGCATACCCCTATTAAAATCTTCTCATTGACTACCGATTGTGTGATTAAAATCTTCTCATTGGATACTGATTTTTTAATTAAAGTGTTTTTATTGGATACTGATTATTTAATCAAGACCTTCTCATTGGAAACTGATTGTAAAGATCTTCTCATTGGATACCGATTGTTTGATTAAAGTCTTCTCATGGGATACCGATTGTTTGATTAAAGTCTTCTCATGGGATACCGATTGTTTAATTAAAGTCTTCTCATGGGATAATGATTGTTTGATTAAAGTCTTCTCATGGGATACTGATTGTTCGATTAAAGTCTTCTCACTGGATACCGATTGTTTGATTAAAGTCTTCTTATTGGATACCGATTGTTTGATTAAAATCTTCTCATTGGATAACGATTGTTTGGTTAAAGTCTTCTCATTGGATACCGATTGTTTGAATAAAATCTTCTCATTGGATACCGATTGTTTGATTAAAGTCTTCTCATTGGATACTGATTGTTTGAATAAAGTCTTCTCATTGGATACTGATTGCTTGATTAAAGGTTTTCTCATTGGATACTGATTTTTTTAATAAAATCTTCTCATTGGATACTGATTGCTTGATTAAAGCCTTCTCATTGGATACCGATTGTTTGAATAAAATCTTCTCATTGGATACTGATTGCTTGATTAAAGTCTTCTCATTAGATACTGATTGCTTGAATACAATCTTCTCACCAGATACATTGGATACCATACGTGGTGTTTTTGTGACTATAGTTTTGTTATGAAGAGTATTACTGCTCCAAACATCATGAATTGATATTCAGTAAATGGTGTCCTTTGAAATTTTGTATTTAATTTAGTTCCTATATGAGACCAACATATACTGTTGGCATAAATTAAGGGAACTAATGATTTCAATGTTGGTGTTGTTGAGGTGTACATTTACAATACTGGGTGTTGCATCTGAACGCAACATCTAATCACAATGAAGATGAACACCATGCATGAAGACCTTGTGATGAACGTGCACACAGAATCCAAAGTGTGTTCGGCTATTAGGGAATTCACAAATCACTAATGCAATTGAGCTAATCACATGCTTAAAAATACTACTGAGACAGTATTTCAATGAACAAACAAAATGATGAATTATGGGTACCACAGAGGGGGGGGGGGGACTTTAATATCCCAAGTTGCCAGAATGTTTGGCTAATAAAACAGTGTAATTTCCCGGCTGGGAGACAAGTACCATCAAACGGGAGGGGTTTCAATGAGACCTGGGCATGGCAGGCCCACCAAAAACAACACCTAGATAAGATCATCTCATTCTGAGAGAGAATCTGATCTAGAGAATTCTGTACAATGACAGGAAGGTGCATTTCAACATCTACCATTAAAAATGCAAGGCGTCCTGTGTAGGGTGTGGCCCTAACAGCGTACCACAGGCGGCAAAGATTGGGGTGGACTAGGCAACAGCAGGGAATTAAGGTTTTGCCTCCGATTCACAGATGGCAGAAACATTGTTGGCGAAGTAGCGGCTAGCAGTATTCCAGGGCAACAATTCTTGACCATGATCGGTATGGGGGCGGTAGTGTCATGGTGTGGGGCGGTATCATACATGACGGGCAAACTGATGTGGCTAATGTGAATAGACATTTGACTGGCAAGCGATTTGTTGATAAAATTTGGTATCCTGTCCATTCCATTTGCATGAATTATGGACTGTAAGATGACGCTGCAGACCACATTGTGCCCAGGTCATCACCGAGTGTCTCCGATGAGAAGGCATATGGACATTGGACTGGCCCGCTAAGTCCCCTGACCTGTCCCCAATAGAGCATCTGTGGGATGTCCTCGGGCACATGGCTCATCTCATTCTCAGGCGGAATGGCGGGCATCACCAAGGGCAACCTTACGCACATTTATCAACAGTATGCCATCAAGGTGTGCACATGTCGCCCAACATGGTGGACACATCAGATATTGATTTACAGGCCCGAAAGTAATTTTACAGATATGCTATGCTTGTTGTAAGAGGCGACTAACCGGATCGGGTGGTCAGGCTCGATGACTTGGTTGATGCATGTCATCATATCCCAATTTCGTGGATCGATGCTTATGATATCACTCACTGGATTATCTGAATTGATTATTACTTACTTACTTACTTTGGAGATTTAACGTGCGCTTTCCGACTGATGCGTATTTCGCACACGGGCCCGGCCAGGCCATTTAATGTGTTTCCGAAAGGGGCGAAAGTGGTCTGTGCAACCCAAGAGGGGGGTTTTAGGGGTTGCTTATATAGAATTTGGGAATTTTGAGATTTGGAATAGATGCCGATGGGATTGGGGAGGGGAACTAAGGGAGCTGGGTATGGTGGATGTTTGTTTGTTAATGTGATTTTGATTTGGTAGGTTATTGTGTTTTTAGATGCGTTTTATAAGTTCCGTTTTTATTAAGAATACGCCTAAGGCCTTGAAGTTTTCTAGTTTATTTTGTGGGTTTAGTATTGCTTCTAGAGTTAGAGCCTTGTTTAGATTGAGGGTGGTTTGTAATGCGGTTCGATGTGTTAGGTAGTGTGTGCAGTGGATGAGTGTGTGTTCTGGGGTTTCTGGTTGTTTGCAGTGTGGGCAGTTACCTGTAGTGTGTTTTTTAAATTTTTTTAGGTGGTTATTTAGGTTGGTGTGTCCTGTTTGGAGTTTAGTGATTACTCTGTCGATTTTTTTGGATGGATGGAGAATTTTTGGTTTGGTTAGTGGTTTGCGAATTGATTATTTTCAGACCACCATCATATAGCTGGAATATTGCTGAGTGTGGTGTTAAACAACAAGCGAACAAACAAACAATCAACCTACATCACTTCACTTTTCCTCCCCCATTAAGTTGACACACCATGATATAACAGAAATACTGTTCAAAGTGTCGCTAAAGTAAACTTGCCCATTCACTATCGTCAGTTTCAAATCATTTTCTCAGGTTGTCAATCACACCCGTCAGTTGTCAAGTGGAGTTAGATTGTTGATACACTGTGTTCGGCCTACTCTGTATGCATGATACACACAACTACACCTCGACAACATGGACTCCACAAGACTCTAGTCAGCAGTCAGGCATTCAAACCATGAAAAGAAACAGATCACACAATGTCATTACTTAATTAGCACCAGTGTTGGAGCTATGCTATTCATATACTATTGAGTTGACAAGCTGATATTGACAGACTCTGTCTGTTATTGACATGGCTCGTACATATCGCCAAACAGTGAAAAGATCAAACAATCGGGGTTTGAGTGGCAGGTGGCTTGTGCAGCCCTCAGGTGATATAGGACCTTCAGGTCGGACCCGTGGTCACTGTCGCTTGCATCGCGACGGAGCAGTCACAGTGTCACGCTGTGTACATTTCGCTATGGTGTGGATGTGTAGTGCACTGTGAGGGAGACTGATTACTAACTACTGTCATTGACAATCTGTCAATCAAGGATTTCCCGGATATACGTCATATATATGTAAGTAATACATTTAATGTGCATGTTTATATCATTTTGAAAAAAGAAACTGAGAGTACTAGAGATCTAAAAAAAATGGCAGTTGGACATTTTTATCATTTTTTCAGATAATAATAATAATAATAATAATAATAATACATACAGGTTCATGATGCTATGAAATAGAGAAATATGACATACATATACACTAGACTGTAGGAAGAGTAGGACTGTACACTAGGACTGCAAGTTTATGAGTGAATATTTCAGTGATGTGACATTCTTCTATATCATACATATCATAATTATTATTTTGGATAACAATCAGTCAGTGTTCAAACAGTCTGAAACCCTCAGGTAAATTCTAAATTGAGAAACTTTAAGGTTGTGGTAAGGGTCTGTGAATCTTTTTTGTGAACATTATAAATTCTTGACCACCAGTCTCAAAGGTAACAGGAACTGATTAATGCAAGTTTAGTCATTTCCTGTCACAGGCTTAAAGAATCTGCACTGTAACGATGCACTCACAAAGCAGGCCTTGTTGATAATGAAAGTCTGAAATGATTAATCACATACAGTACTGTCCATCAATATTATGTCTTTGAGCAGCATAAGAGATTGGCACTAGTCCTGTAGCCCTTAACAAACTGCCCAATAGTTAAGGTATCATAAGGACGAATAGAAAGATTTTGCTATGTATTATCATTGTAAGGACTAGTGGACGAAAACTGTTAGTTTCTACCGCTGCTTTGAGTATGTTGTAAAGTAATCTGGTTATTTAACATATATGAGTATACAATTTAGATCATGAATTTTTAAGACAACTGAAAGAAAATGCATTCATCGCTTTTTTTTAGTTTTGCAAATTTTCAAGAAAAAAAATTAAAATATTAAAATTGCAAAAACTGAATATATAAATATGATATTATAAATAAAAATAAGTAAACTATAGAAACAAAACATTTGACCGATTGCCTTGGTAATTCATAATTGAAATCGCCACTTCCCTGCGAAATGCTCATTTCAGCTTATCCTGAGACGGATCAAGGCCCATCCTGTGATTATGTAGCATACACACACACAGTGTGTTACTTACCTTCGGGACACAATGTACGTTTCAGCTCCACGTCACCTCCCCATTGACCCCTTCATGTAGACTTCATTCCCCTACACATGGATTTCACATCCAAGTGAAATCAACGCCTGAAATTGACGTGCTTATCTGTCCCCCAGACAATCTGATTGCACCCCCCCAAGCTGGCGACATACACACAGCATTGTTTTGGTTGACACACACAATATGATAGTCCCCAGCAGGAATGTGGCTTGCATGCTGCATGGTTGTATATTTCATGGAGAAATGTACAAGATATAGACACCAACTGGCTGCGTTAGTGTTACTGAATATTCCCTACAGCTCCAATTGGTTTGAAAGACAATTGTCAAGAGACA